CACTTCAAAATGGCGGCAGGGATTTTCCCGAGGGGAAGTGCTTAGGGAAGTTCGCAAGTGCGTGTCTAAAAGTGGACCGGAACGCAGCCCAGAAGTGTCTTGTTACCTCGTTATATTGTTAAGCTTGTAATGGTGTTGTTCGCTTCCGCTTGTCTTGTCCCTAGTCTTCGTTTTGTTTTGCTTTGACTTGTTTCTTACATTAAAACCACTGCAGTTAGATCCTCATCTCTGCCTGCCTTCTCTCGCCCTGCTCATTACAATGTATTTATTTTAATTAAATGTGTATTAATTATTATTTCTTTATTTAATTTTTTTCCACAGATTTTCTTTTCCACTGACCCCCTTGTTCCACAAGAAACTCTTGAAACACCCTGAAAGAGGTGCATACAGTGATAGTCGGTGGAATTGCTCAATGGCACAGAAATGGTTTAATGCTATATGAATTAGCAGGGTGAGGTTTCTGCGGGGTGTACAATTACTGAAGCATGGTGGTGCCTCATAAATAGTGAAACTCAGTGGGACTTAATGACTGCTGCATTTTAATGTGGTTTAACTCCACTCGCCTTACAGATATTACAGATTCCACCTCCTGAGCTTGAATCGATCTTGTAACCATTGCCACAGTGTTGCTTTCTATTGAACACTATATCTACTGCTTTATGGGAACCAGTCCATAATGGCACATGGCTAGTCATTAGCTGTAGGATGCCTTTACACTCTTATAGTCAGTTTGTAATTTCTTAAAGTTCAGGCAAAAGTCGATTGGACTAAATTTGCATTCAAACCGTCATTGGGTCTGCATAGTTTTTTTTTTTTTCATAGAAGATCTTTTGAGACTGATTGAAGATAAACAATGTTGCCATCTAATGGTCGTTCGTTTTTCAAATAAGCTTGACTTAAAATCACTATAAATAGCACTTGTGAACTGAAATTTAAGGGTCAGAGTTTAAGGGTCAAACTTTGTTTGAAGCACTTCATCATAGAGTGATATTTGTGTTTATTAATAATTCAAATATGCGAATTACAGTGCATGCAGTAACACACTTCTTGTGTTTATTGTCCTTGTAAGGCATCTCGTTGCAGTTTGTTATTGTGTTTCGTAGCTGCTCTCGTTCCTTTCGACAGATTTATTAGAGCGGATCTGTGTCAGGTAATAAAGGAAAATAAAATAATAAATGAGAAATAATGCCACAACTGATTCAAAGTGACGCGCCTCGGAGGAAGCAGATCGCAGATCATTACGCCTGAGATGCTGCGCCGTCTCCCTTTAATTTAGCCCGTGCTGAGACGTGAATCGTTGTGCATAGTGATTGAACAGAAGCATGTTTAATGAATGAAAACTGGGAGCACATCAAACTTGATGTGTTTTTCCACCTTTTCCATAGCGAAGCGGTCTATAAATACGGCTCCTCAGCCAGGTGCTTGTTAATACAACCCCCAGAGTGATGAGAACCCATCGTTTTGTGATATCTCAGTCTGCACTCCGGCAACGACTCCGGGAGAGATTTGGTTTGTTTAAAGGAATCGCAGAGTAGTTGGTAAAGAGAGAGCAGATGGAGGAGTAATGGCAGGCAGGTGAGCGCAGCGTGTTTCTGTGTCGTCTTTCATGAGGAGTTTGAAGCGTTGTTTGAAGGCTGTTTATCCGGATGTTTCCTCTGTTTTGGAGGAGCAGAGTCCACAGAGGCTTCTTAAAGGGCTGCAGCGAGCCGAGCTGAAAGCTGCCAAGTGTTGTTTACTACATTACCCAGAGTCCCTAAGGACCGGCTTCTGTGCTGGAAAACATCAGATGGTCTGGGACTCGCACCTTTGGTGGTGACAAGAGAATGAAACGATGACGCAGTGTTAAGAGGAAAGAGACAAAACCCATGTGTTTAAACAAAGGCTCTGAAAGTTTGGCGTGTACCCGCTCATTCAAGCGCTGCGGTGTCAGTGTTTAGTTGAAAGCCTTTACGCAGACTTTGAAAACACTTTAATGCCAAATTCACAGAGAGCAACTTAAGTGAGGTTTTTTTTTTTTTATGACCAACATCATTAATCTTAATGTTAAGGATGTATTCAGGGAAGGGTTTTTTTTGTTTTTGTTTTTTTGTAGATGTATTTAAACAAAAGTAAAAGTAACAATAAGTGGCCAGTGGCTATATCCAAATTCATTATCGTATGAGCATGTGAATATAACAAAGTGCAATTTTATTTTAGAAGCACAAATGTAAAACACAGCAGCTCTGATAACAGTATATACTGTATAGTCAGGGATGTTTATTGTACTTGTCACTAACAGACTCAAGGCTCTTATATTTAAACACTTACATTTTTTTTTTCAAGGATTCGATTCAGTCAATCTTGTAGCAGCCCTGGTAATGCATTAAGAAAACATTAAGAAAACATTGCCTCACTGCTGACATATTTTGTGCATCTAACTCCAAGTTGTGTAGCATTGTGTGTGATTCCAGAGGTATTTTCACATTTGTTTTCTCCATGGAGAAATTTTGTCACAAACCAAAATATGCCAAACACACACATTGGTACTATCAGTATCAGTATGATGACATTCCATTTGTGCAAGGGTTTTTATACCATTGTTAATGTCATTGTCTAGCACTAACCCTAAAGCTACCCATCACAGAAAACTTTCTACGTTTTTACATGTTCAAAAAACATAATTTAGTATGATTTATAATATTATTCTCATGGGGACCCCACAAGGTCCAAAATTACTGGTATTAATATCTTTGTGCCATTTGGAACCCCCCCTTACATTAACCCTACCCCTCGACCTACCTATCACAGAACAATAAAGTAAGATAAAACATCATAGTAAGATTTATAAGCTGATTTCATCATGGTGACCAAAAAATGCTATCTTCAAAAAAGATTCAAAGATTCAAAATCTTTGTGGGGACATTTGTCCCCATAACGGAGGGTTTACCCGGCCACACACACACATAAATAATTGTATGTTTGTATGTGTTTTATATACACTACATTTTTTATTTATTTTTATTTTTTTAAGAAAGATTTGTTTTTCAAGGCCGCATTTATTTGATCAAAAAGACGTAACATTTTTTACATTTTTATGAAATGTCTTACACACACACACAAACACACACATCATATACAGTATAGTCCCTTTGATTAATAACCTCGGAGCTCATGGTAGGTCTGCCTTGAAATGTTTATACGGAATGGTTAAAAAACATTTTCTCTATGGAGAAAAATAACCAGACAGTGCTCAATTTATCATCACAAATGGCTTTGTGCAGACGGATATCAATTACAATAGCTAAGATATGACAAGCATTCACGACTCTTCTCCACTGTGCTGCTCTTTCGCACAGCTAATAGAAAATATTCACAAATACATGCGCTCGTCTTTTATTTTGTCTTGCAGTCTTCGGGTGTACATCTATATGAATAGATATGACTGTATCTGTCTCTGAAGCCCTGTGCTGTGCTCTTATTAGTTGTCATGCATGTCATGGAACTGCTAATCAGCACCTAAGGGCTGACATTGGGTTCACGGAGCTCAGTTATTGCTCAGTCATGGCTTTGCTGTCGGTGTCAGGTAGAGGAATCGTTCCCCGGTGAAGACCGCTGCATTGCTTTGACCTCTTTAGGTCATCAGAATTTGTCTCGTTTCTGCTGCTGTCAACTTTTTGTTGGCTCACTTTTTTGATTACTGCTTCTTTTGTACTGTTACTTCAGTGCAGACACTGATCATTTTTCCATTTTTATATGGCACTCTGTTTAGGATTCTCGCGATGGCTTTTACTGGGATGAAAAGTCCATGTTTGATGGTGGGCAGATGAAAGCCGGACACCACACCTTCACCCAAACCCTTCATCAGAATCAAGCGTTCCTTCTCTCGCTCTCAGACTCTCTCTTTTCTCTTTGAAAAGCTGACTCATCAATAACAAATCGTTGCGACTGAATTAGTCATTTGTCTTTGATGTCACCGTGGTCACGGCGAGGCACTGTGTGCATACCAATCAGACACTATCTTGGCTTCTGTCCACCCTGCTGGCAAAAGCCAATTTTCTCTTTTTACTACAACAACCTGCTGGGAGAAGGTCGTCATTATGTGGTACTTGATGAAAGAAGTCATCATTTAATTACACACATCTAAAAGGTCTCTAACTCTCTAAAGGACAGTGTGCCTAAAAGCTATTTCCTTGGTTTCCTGTGATGTACTGAACATGATTGTTGTGAATTTTGCTTTAGAGTTTTGCGTTGGGAATTTTGCTGTGGAGAAACGTCCCACGTTGTTGCACCTTTCTCAAATGTACATGAATTTTTGATTTGTGGTTGCACCTCCTCTTTTGTTGGTAGAGCATCTCTTTTTAAAAACATTTTGTATACCCTGTAAAGTTTTGTTGAAATTACAGCAATGACTATATTTAGCAGAATATGCCACCCTTTACCAGCAAATGTTTATGAAATAGAAATCCCTTTTCTTAGTTTAATAGAATCCCTGAGTTTTTATTAATGGCTTTTACAGACTTCAATTATTAAGTCCCCTTACTCAAATGTAACTGCCATTGTCTAACAGGGGAACTGAGATCAAAAATGTGACTGCGCATTTTCAATTCTTATTCTTTATGAAATGATCAGCTGCAGGAGGAGTGGAGCTCACATTTCTGTAATTGACAATTAGTGGAAGTGTGCGAGTTCAGGGCAGGCTATGTTTATTACCAGTCATACATATTTTCTGCCAGCATTGTCAAAACCACAAATACAAAGCTATTGTATGGCATGACAAAACAAAACTTCTCTAGCTCTACTCTTTTTACTGTGCTTTGTTTTATAAAGTTTGTGTTTTAAAATACAGTAAGTTCATTGCTCAGTTGGATGTGGGATGAAACGCATATTTATACTTTGATTCCATGACATGAAAAAGAACACATTGACTTCTAATGAAGTAAAGTGAATGAACATGGCATGTTTCGTTTCGTGTAACATTACAAATTAACATGATTCCCCCTGTCTTTGCCGTGTCTTTGCAGGGTTCCCTGGTCAGAATGGCTTTCCTGGGCCCTGTGAACACAAGTACTGTGGTTTGGGGAAGCACTGTGTGGTTGACCGAGAAACAGGTGAAGGAGAATGTCAGTGTCTGGATCGCTGCAAACCACATTACAAACCTGTTTGTGGATCTGACGGCAAACTCTACCAGAACCACTGTGAGCTTCACAAAGCTTCCTGTATGGCCCATCAGAGAATAACCATCATGCACAGCGAGGAATGCTTCTACAAAGGTATAGAACCATTATGATTTGTTACGGTATATTGTCCATCATTGTCCAGCTACAGCTGCATGAGTACTTTTTATGTTAACTACACACTTTTTATATATAAATTAATACTTTTATTCAGCAAGGACGCATTAAACTGATCAAAAGTGAAAGTAAAAGACATTTATAATGTTACCAGTTTAGTTAAATATTAAGCAGTTTAATAATTTGTTTTCAACATTGATATTGATTTTAGAATGATTTCTAAAGTTTCATGTGACACTGAAGACTGGTAGCCTGGTTAAAACCAGACCATTCTCAGTTGTAACTGAGTTATGGTCTGGCAAAGCGTCATAGACAAATCATTTCCAGAGGGGCGTCACCAACGGACGTCGCGGATAGACCTAAAACCTATCAGAGCGATGAAGGAGATGACGTATGCAGAGCGGCGGAGAAACATCTCCGAGTGTTGTTCTTTGCTCGGTTTTTAACAAAAAGGAAACGTTCAAATCGCTTAAAACAGACGCGATAGCTGATTCGAACGAGTGCTGTTCGACGGCGGCATCCATCTTTGTAATGTAGGCTGCAAAATCTGCTTCAAAATCCCAGCGCTGTCGTCATCGTGTAAAGCCCGCCCCAACGTTTCTGATTGGTGCCTCGATTTCGACGGATTGGAAATGGGCTTGAATGAGCTCTTTGCCAGACTAACTTTCAGAGCAAATCTAAATTTGCCGGAAGTTGTCTGGGTTTTCCCAGGCTACAAGACTGGAGTAATGATGTTGAAAATTCAGCTTTGCCATCACATGAATAAATTACATTTTAAAATATATTAAAATGGAAAGTTATTTTAAATTGTAATAATAATTCACAATATTACTGTCTTTACTGTATTTTTGATCAAATAATGCAGCCTTGGTAAGCATAAGAGACTTTTTTCAAAATCATAGAAAAATGATGTTTTAGTATTGAAGTGTTAGTGCTTTATTTGCTTGCAGCAATCATCTTTAATTGTTTAAAGATGCGGTTTTGTAAATTCTGAAAATGATGTGGAGTTTTAAGAACCGCACATCCTGATGTGTGCAGCGAGGCAAAGGACATGTATTTGACAAATTTATTTTCCAAGAAAGAGAGGCTGTGTTGGTTTGCATACTCTATGAAAGATTTCAAAACAATGCTGAAATTGTACATTCCCATACCACAGTATATCATCTCTTTTTTTGTTGTTGGGTTTTGTCAAGTTCACTAAGGCCTGACAGTCCTAATGCAATACACCACCCTAACTACTTCATAAATGTGCAGGAAAATTCTTCAAACTCTTCAGCTCTCCACTTCTACATTCTGACCAAGGAATCAAACCTCTAAATGCCCTCTCAAATCAAATCTCAGTCAAAGCATTTGGCCATCAGACGATGATACTGACATGCTTGGGCCAATCAGTGTGAGTTTGGGGAGCCAGAGAGATGGATGGTTAGTGTAAAATAGATGATTGTCCTGCTAATCAGTTTCACAGAAGACAACACAATGTCGGATTGCAAAATTGCCCTCTAAAGATTCTTTTTTTGTTTGTCGTGCTGCATTTACTTAACACGCCATTGCAGGATATTTATCTAATTCGTTTTTGTTTTTTCTTTTTACTTTCAATAATGTATGTGGTTTTAGAAAATGGTTGGTTTGTTCTCCTCAGTTGAAAATTTGAAATATTAAACTGTAGAAAGTTGATAACTAGAGAGATGATTGGATTGGATTGTATTGGATAATTAGGCGTTCTAATTATCAGAATTGTATCAAATAGGTCCTAATGGTTTTCACAATGGCAGGTGCAGTCACAGCATCATTTTTGTGCTTATTTTCAGGAAATTTAAGAGCTTTGGGGGAAAATGTAGCCTGACTTCGTCATACTCATATTCTAGTCAGAATGTGAGTCTGATACTGCTCCATAGGGCTTTGATTATGAGGCGTGTCTTAACCGAACAAAAAAACAACAACTCTGCACTCAATTGGATAGACCTACAACCAATCAGAGCAACGCAGTAAGTGACGTATAGTGAGCTACGCATAGTTGTCAACAGAACTCAACTGCACGCACGCTGGAAGAAGTAGTAAAATAATGAGTGTTGCTTCTTTTACTTGGTCCTCCATGAGTGCGACCAAAGGAGAAACCACAACGACCACAGGGTTTTCATTGCGTCCCATCTTCTTAGCGACCATCGGAGCCAGCTGATAAATGAAACTTTTGCCGAATCCCGTAGGAAGGACGGCAAACACATCTTTCCGATCGACAAATGCCTTGATTGCAGTTTCCTGCTCGTCTTTTATTAGTAAAATTAATGCGCTGTCGATTTCTTTTACAACAGACGCGATAGCTGAATCTCTACATCTCAGTTCTCCAGCTGCAGTCAACTTTGAGGGAAACCAGTTCAACCCAAGCGCTCTTTGATAACGTGAGGATTACGTCCCTGCAGATCATCTGTCCATCATCGTATAAAGCCCGCCCTGGCATTTTGATTGGCCCGACAATTTCTGAACCGATCATAATTACTCCTCAATGGATCGAGTCCAGACCGAACTTCCCGACCAAAAAATGTTGTGGGCGGGGTTCGGGCTGGCATCCAGGCTAGGGAAAATGTTTATGTTCTTATCATTCTGGAAGCAAAATAACATTCTGTACTGGTGACCATTAAATGAAATTTAAGCATTGTTTTTTTGTTTTGTTTTTACCTCTAAGAAAAATTAGAAAAAGAAAAAGAGACAAAGTAGGCTGATGAACTTTGAAGGGAGGCTTTTATTCTGGGGGTGGAAGATGCTTGACTGTTTTTATTTGTCTCTCTCCCTTCAAATGAAAACAAGACTAATTTTAAACAAAATTAAATCAGATTCTAATATATATTAAATCAAAAGTATTGCAAATTAATTGAATATATATACACATTTAATTGAATATATTAGAACTGCACGATTCTGGATAAATTGAAAATCCCGTTTTTTCTGTGTAAAATGGAGATTGCGATTCTCCGACGATATTCCAATTTGGAAAGAAAAATACACATCATGCAAGATATATTCTCTGAAAACAAGTCTTGTTTCTCAGATAAATGTATTTCACCTACAGATATTTAGATGTTTTTTGTTTGTTTTGTTTACTAGAAAACAGTAAATGCATTGGATTTGATTGGACTACAGATACATCTAATGTAAACATGTATAGATCAGTGAATGCAGAAGCATTTGTACCTTTTCATAATTAAGTAGACTGATTATTGTAAGTACAAAAATAGTGTTTGTCGTCTTAATGTGTGTAGAAATCAGTCATCTCTGCGCTAGTTGCACACAGCAGTGCCCAATTAGGTGCCAGAGTCTGCATACTATTCTTCGTTAATGCTTCATTTATACCCCACATTTCTTTCTTTCGCCGTGCCACTCAAATATTTTTTTCCTGTCTCTCAGGGCTTTTGATTGTCTGGCTAGGCGGTGTTTACAAATACTGATATTGTCAGAGTCTAGTGATTTGGGGCCTGTGCCTACGCCAAAGCAAATTAACCAAAAACAGCAGGATGAAAGCTTCATGGAACATCAAGAGACAGGTGATTCTTCCCAAACTATGTGCTGACCGGGGCAAAGATGATAAGTAGCAGGGTAGATGCCATAATGCTAAGTAATAAAACATCACAGAACATATGCTGTAGGCTTCCATTTCCCAGTGGGAAGGCGGTGAAGGAGTTCTCTCTAGCCAAGGAAGAGGTTTCAGATTGTGTGTGCCTGTAGGGCTGTATGGTTTGGCATGAGGCGGTGGGTATGGATAACGATGGGATGCCAGCCGTTGGGTTGGCAAAGCAAACTGTAAATGCTTGTCTAATTGCTAGCATACATTCGAGCCCAGCAGTACATCTCGTGCAATTACAAAGCATTACTTTCATAGGAAACTCTTTTGTTCAGTGCCGTACGGGACACCCACCGGTGACAAGGGGCCTGACCCATCACAACATTACATTTGTTAAAACATTGTTTTTCAAAGTTGTAAATAAAAATTCAATTTCAGTGTTTTTACTTCAGAATTTTATGTTCAAATTAATGTGTTACTGGTAGTTTCTTTGCATTTAATTGTGAAATGTACCCATCCATCCATCAATCAATCAATCAATCAATCAATCCATCCATCCATCCATCCATCCCAGTTATTTCCACACCAGATTGACACTTTCTAAATGACAGAAATCTACAAAGATGAACAGAAAATCAGAACTGAAAAGTATAAAAAGGAAGCAGTGTCAGATAGTTTTAAGTTGGACCCCCAAGATGTATGGTACCCCGCTGCTCCTGTTTATTACATCAAACAAAGGGAAAGTATTATGCGCCAAAGTTTTAAACTTTCAAAGTTTTTATGACGAATAATCATCAGACGACTCAAAAGACAGCTTTACTGTCTGTCAGAGCGGGGGGGAAAGTGGTAGGGAAAAATATCCCCCCATTAAGCGTTCCTCTGTCTGTTAAGCTTCAATTATGTCCCATATTCCAGTGATTCACGCGACTATTTGCACTGGGGAAATTAAATGGCTCTTTCAGAATTCTGCACTTTGCTCCACACACTGTGTAAGTTTGAGTTGTTTTGAAGATGATATATTCATCTCATTCTTTTCTCCCCATTACTTCAATTTCTTTTATGAGAATGAAGAGTTAATGACGCTTGTGGTCTGTCTGATGGAACTCCATTCAGCCTTCAGTCAGTCTTTCGCATCGCATGTCTTGTGTTTTTGTGTTGAGCAGAAAAATAACAGCATACAGGTTTAAAACAACATGAGGAAAAAATAACTGAATCGTCATTTTTCTGGTTAATTATTACATTTAACATTAGTGTTTCACAAGATATATATATATATATATTTTAAAGTGCTTCCAGAACAATAAGAGAGAAAAAAAACCTGTTGAGTTAAAAAAAAATGTTTTATAATTTTTCTGTAATGACCCAAACGAGGTGCGACAGTGCCTCAACTTCAAACAGCATCTAAATAATTATGGCATGAGTGTAT